AAAAAAAAAAAAAAAAACAACCCTTCCAGATAATGAGCATTTTGCCTAATAAGAACTGGAGGATTGATTAGGTTCAAACTGTTAACCAACATCCCTACGGTTAATGAAGCAGCACTGAAAATGCCTCTTGATTCTTTAGAAACTTAAATTATACAAAAGCAAGAAGAGAAGCAGAGCTAAAATGCTGAAGATGAAGAACATGAAATGTTTGCTCTTTGAAAAGTTAATATTTATCGAGCGTTATCTCAGCAGTGGGCAAGCAATAAACTTTGGTAATTATTGTTAAAACATTCTTTGGGTAGCATGTTTTATTGTGAATTCTGAGTGGGGGACTGGAAGCCTCTGCCGTCTTAATTCCTTTGTTAATGTCTTTATGAATGCAATTAACACTTCATTCACGCTTCTTTGTTTCTGGATCCCATTAGGATGTGGTTTATGCCAGTTCCTCTCTCCCAGGAGACAGCCCCGCACCACACAACATTTCGCTCAGCGGTGCGGCTGAGCACTGACAAACTCAATCTGTGGAAGGTGAGTGCGCGTTGACACCACGCGGTGGCAGTTGTCCTGATGGGAGCAGACGTCTCATTTCATTCCGCGGCCAGCCCACCTTCTCCAGAAGCCTGCTGGGCTCCTGGGGAGGAGCGTGGAAGGCTGATTCAAAGCCGTAGAACTTCAGGAGCTGGAGAGAGCACCTAGGGATGGGAGGGGAGGCGAATGAAAAAGGGAGTTCAGATATAGTGTGTATGTGTTCAAACTTCCCTACAATAAATGTAATCATCATGTACTGCGAATGTACTAATAAAACATTTTAAAAAAATAATTATTTTTTAAAAAACGAAGTTGAAATACTAGAGTGGAAGAATTGCTAAGAACCAAATATGGCCCGTGGTCATTAAAAGGAAAGCCTGCTGCGTATTGCCTGGTTTGTGTCACTGGCTGCTGTTATCCTCAGTAAATATTCAGCAGGGCTACTTGTGTACAGAATAAGGGAGGAGCTCGGAAGACAGGGACATAGCCCCCATCCTGTAGAGCTTATAATTTAAAAGAGAGGCCGGAGATGCCAGACAAATAGGTAAAATATAGGGACTGTGTTAAGGACTAGGGACTGTGTCCTGAGTGAGAGGGATAGAGCAGAAGAACACTAGAAGTCAGGATCTCTGTGATGAGGAATGTGAAGGGGACTATTCTGGAGAGGTGGAACTTGAGTAAAAACGGTTCCCCTTCCTGTCCTATGCTGGAGATGACCCACTGAGAGGAGGAGGAAGATCAGAGGAACTTCAGAGAGGCCCAGAAATACAGGCATCAGCAAAAGTACGGAGGTAGAAAGAATAAAAGGACTTGTGACCATGGCAAATTATTTCCGTTTATATTAAAGCCTCTCCTCCAATTGATGGCATCATTTCTATTTCAAATATCAGTGTGATATTTGCTTACCAGCCAAAGAAGGCACTGCAGATGAATATGTTTGAATCTTACAGATACTGTACAGAAGGAGAGGCAGGAGGGCTAAAGGGAAATCAGAGATGATGGAAGGAAAGACAGAGGCAAGGTGGACAGAAGGAAGGAAGGGAGGAAGAAGGAAGGGAGGAGCACTACCCATCATTTCCTGTCACATTTTTTTTCTTTAAATGAAAAAAAGTTGCTCATAGGCAGGCCTGTACCTGTGCCGTAATTGTTATGTTTGGTTTTCTCCACCAAAGGCAAAAAGGAACAGGATTTCTAGTAAGTGTTGTGAAGCATAATGTATTACCAGAAAAGGAAGCAAAGCAGCCTATAGCTCCCAGTAATCTGTGACTAGCATTAAAGGTGTGTGAGTAAATCAAGGGCAGTATTCCTGTTTTAGTGTTAACTTTATTTAATGATATGATGATTGATTGTTTTCTTCCCTCCGAGTTACTCCAAACACTGTGGCCTTTATTCTACTCGTCAGCCATGCTTAGTACTGAGGTATTTCTCATGTCTCTTTAAACCAGACTCCGGTTGTCAGTGCCATCGTATTCTATTCTAATAAAAGCCTGGATGCACGTTTGCTCAGTTGCCCAGCCCTGAGGCACTGTAACTTCACAGACATGGTTGTACCCAGGCAGTACCTTTTGCATTAAAAATAGGGTCATTTTGTTTATGTCTCATAGGTGGCCGTTCTTCCTGGGGAAAATGGCTTCCTGCATTACAAAGGCTTCTTGGGCACTGAACAGCTAAAACTAACATTACCTTTGCTCCTAGTCAAATTTTTAAGTATTGGTAATTTTGAGTCAGCTATTTTTTTTCTGAAGGAAATAGTTGTCAGTTGTCAGGTTTAGGACTACACTGTGATTTATTGGAAGAATCATTAGAATGACTAAATTAATTCCCAGCCATTAAAAAGGGAAGGTAAAAAGGTGATGATGGTTGATGTAGAAGGAGTGGGTGGGCTCTAAGGTTTAAAAAAACCTTTACTTCTGTGTGTGTATGTGTGGTGTGTGTATGTGTGTGTGTGTGTGTGTTTTAATTAGAAAAAAAATGCTACTCTGCATTCCCTGGCCTCAAGCCACTAGGTAGCTATGTAAAACATAAACAGAATCTGTATTTTGTTGCATTTGAGAAAGACGTAAATGTGTAAATATGATGGAAGAGGTTTTATTTTCTTTCCCCTTCTCAGGAGCGGTCTGACAGCCCCAGGCTTGAGACTGTGTCTCTCCCAAGTACTCTGTCATCCTGGTAACCATGGAGACCATGACGATCGATTAGATGCCATCTGATCTCCACCTCATAAAAAAAGGCAGCAGATGGCAACCAGGCCACTAGACCTGTCTCAAGAGAGATGAAGGGGAAGAGCAAGGGAAGGAAGGAGGAGAAAGGAGAGGAGGTGGGGGTGGGTGGGTGCAAGGAGAAGAGAGTGCACAGAAATGTTAGAAACGGATAGGGAAATGTTAGAAAAGAGAACAAACAGAACCAGACAAACAAACAAAAAACAAGGAAAGCAGGATAAGGGAAAGAGGAGACAAAATGGAGAAATGAAACCAAAACTCAACTGTGCCATGGACCTCATAGTGCGCTGTGGGAAGAAAATCTGAAAAGGAAAATCAGTCAGCTATCCCCTAACTTTCTTCTACACAGGTCTCAAACAGTGGCAAAGATGGTCACAGAACCTGAGCCACAGGGCTTCTCTGAGGACCCTTCACAACTGTGTCCTGTGGCTTTCTGTGACACCTGGAGTTTGATGTACCCACAGGAGAAGTCTGAGACCTGGTTCTCAGAATGAATGCCCCTGATTTAGGCGAGACCTTTCAGACAACTGGATGAAGACCTACGATATGATGTCTGTGGCTCCCTCTCCAGCAGTGTTTTGGTCAGACCTCAAAGAAAAAAGTGCTAAGTAGTTCTGCGGAGACCAAGATGAGAAGAAGAGAAGGACTGTTACATCAATGCTGGTGGACATGGGTGTGTTAGCCAGGCTCCCAGAGGAGTGTAACGGCTGACATTCATGAAGTGTGTCAGACACCGTTTAAAACAAGAGAAAAGAGAAACCACCTATAATCGCGTTAGTTTTACCATAAGCATGATATATGTACATGGGTTGTATAAAATGCAGCATTTTATGGATATGCACACATGATATTTTAAGTAAATACAGTACTAGATTTTAAATATCATTTGTTTAGCCTATGCTTTTAGACATTATATTATGACCACTTTTCCATGTTTATTAATTATTCAATCTTATTTAATGACAATACAGCATTCTACTTTTCCATTATGTATTTAACTACTTCTTTATTATTGGACTTTCCTAGAATTTTGCTACTATATAATAATACTATGGTAACCATTCTTATATGAGAGCCTTTCGGTGTTCCTCTTTGGCCTTAGGTAAAAACACAACTACTAAATCAAAGAGTATCGTTTCCTTCAAAGTTTTGAAGTTAAGTATAACATATATACAGTCAAGTGAATAAATCTTAAGGAGACAGCCAGTTGATTGTAAATATTATATAAGTATAGTTAACATATATAACATTACATATATATGATTACATATTTATTTACTTATAACCACTACCTAGATCAATATATTAAAATTTTTACTCCAGGATGCTCTTTCATACCCTTTTCTACTATCTACACTATGTTCTTGAGCTTAGTATAAATGGAATGACAGGGTGTGTATTCTTTTGTTTCTGACTTCTCTCACTCAACATACTGTCTGTCATATTGTTCCTGCTGTGTTGTATACCAATAGCTCAGTCTTTTCATTTCCATGTCATTTTCTGATTTTAATATAGAATATTTATGGATTAATTTTGTTTTGATAGACATTTGGGCTATTATGAACAAAGTTGCCATGAATATTCTTGTACATGTCCTCTGTCATTCATAATTTTTAAAATTGAAACTAGGAGTGGAATTACTAAGACACAGAGTGGGCATGCTTTTAAATGCAGGGCAAATATTTTTACAGCTTTGGAGGGGGTTGGCTCTTACACTGGCCTCCAAATTAGCACACACTAACTTGAACTCCAACTGTCTAGTCTCATAAATATGCCCTCCCCATCCCTTCTGACCAACAGCAAGTGGGCATATTTATCCTTTTTAATCTTTGCCGAATTAAGAGATGAAATGGTATCTCATTATTTACATCGTGTTTGATGACTGTGTGTGTTAAACCACTCTTACTATGTCGTCAGACATTTTTATTCTTCTGTAAACTGCACACACACATCACTGCACTACTTGCTTTTAGCTTTAGGGGAAGGCAAAGAGAGGAAACATAACCCAAATAATCTGTGCAGATTCACTGGCATGGTAAGAAAAAAATTACTGGCACAGATGACCAGAACACGTTGATGTTCTTAGCATAAGTTGATATCCTGCTCTACATATTTCAAAAGGAAGTTTATACACTTACAGAACATCTATTATTAAGCACATTTACTCTTTAAAACAGCCCCAGTCGTTCTGTTTTTATAGCTTCATTTAATTTCAGAAATAGCAGTTCATTTTCAGAGAAACCTAAAAAGATACCATTCTGCCTAATTTTGCAAATTTATAAATGAAGGATTTGCATGCAGTTCATGGTTAAAAACTATTTAAGGATTCTGACAGGGATCTAAACCCAAGATATTTCAAGTCCAAAGTAAACTGGTTTTTCTCTTTCCTTTAAAGAAGAGTGCTATGGTCTGAATATTTCTTCTCCTCAAAATTCATATGTTGAAATCCTCACCCCTGAAGCGATAGTATTGGGAAAGGGCCTTTTGAAAGAGAATAGGCTGTGCCTTCATAAGTGGGGTTAGTGCCTTTCTGAGGGCCGGGGCTTTAGCTCAGTGGTTCTGCTGCCTGCCTTGCAAGTGCAAGGTTCGGAGTTCAACCCCTGGTACCAAACATAAACAAACAAACAAATAAAAACTATCTGAAAATGTCCCTCACTCCTTCTCCACATGAGGACCCAGAAGAGGCGCCATCATGAACAAGGTAGTGGCCCTCGCCAGACCTGGATCTGCTACACTCTTGACCTGGAATTCCCAGCTCCTCCTTTGTGGTATTTTGTTACTGTAATCCAAAAAGACCAAAACAGGCAATGATTCTCCTTTTCATTTTTTAAACTATCCAAACCCTGGGAGGGCTTCTGGATCCCAGAACCCTGCTCTGAAGTCCCTTCTATCCCAGCCATCATGGCTTGTTCACCACCAAAGGAGAATCAGGATCTCTGTGCTATCGAGGAGAGACGGAGAATATGAATAAATCTATTTTAGTTCACTTCATCCGTTTTAGAAGTTTAATTTTATTTGTATTTTATTGTGTGTGGTACATGTTTGAAAAGCTAATAATAGTTTAATCAACTGATAGGGTGAGAAGAAGTAGAGATGGATCCAGGATGTTTTCCTCTTGGTAAATTATTGCCTTTGGCCTCTGGATTGGTTGGCTTTCGTGTCACTGGGGCAGAAGATCCAACACCCTCAACTGAAAGGAGGAGGGGTTGATTTGGTTCATGGGTTCAGTGGGTTCAATCCAATGCAGAGATGGAAGGCGGAAGGACTTGGTGGAGGAACGCTGCTCAGTCCGTGGCACTCAGGAAACAGAGTGGGGAGGAGCCAAGGAGAATGCACCCTCTCTTCTGACCAGGCTCCACCTCCAAACACATGAGACTCTGGGGGACATGATAGATCTAAATAGTATTTACATTCATGTAATTCTAGAGGCTTTTTAAAAGAAAAAAAAAGACAGTTACTTCTACAAAAATGAGAAAATAATTTGCTATAAATGACATATTTAAAAATATTTATAACGCCACAATAACCATAATAGTTCGAAACAAAATGAAGTATACTATTTTTGTTATTTAACTTCTCTGACAGTCCTACATAATTTTTCCTTCATTCTTTAGCTCTATACCCTTGGATTTGTTTCATATGACAAAGATTTGGGGATATTTCCTATCAGTAGAGTATAAAAATAAATCGGCCTTTGTTGTAGCATAGTTGACCAACTTTGTGCTTTTTTGTCTGTTTGTTTGTTTTTGTTTTTTGTTTTTTGAGACAGGGTCTCCCCATGTAGTCCAGCCTGGCCTTGAATGCTCAATGAATCCCAAGTTCTGGGATAACAAGGGTGCACCACCACTCTCATCTGTGTTGTGTTAGTTATTTAGAAAAGTATCTGTGAGCTTTATAACTCACTATTGGCCTCATTGCTTAAATAATTAAGATGCTAGCCAATTTTAGGAAAAGTCTACCAGAGTTTTGTGATACATAAACTATAAGATTTCAGAGCATTTCCCATTTGTTTTTGTTGTTGCTCAGCAACTAATCTTAAGTATACATTAAACTAAAGGCACATTCATTCTCAAATGTTTATTTTGCACATACTGTGAATTAGGTATCATTTTACTTAGTAGGGATAGGGCAATGAATAAGACAAAAACATCCCTGGCCTCAGAAAGTTTGTATTCTAGAGCTAGTGAGAAAGAATGTAAACTAATGTACCTTTTAAAGTGCTCAAGTCTTCCTTCCTTCCTTCCTTCCTTCCTTCTTTCTCTCTTTTTCTCTATCATCTGTCTATCTATCTATCTATCTATCTATCTATCTGTCTATGTCTATCATTTATCTACCTATCTATATGCTATCTATTTTATTTTATTTTGCTTTGTTTCATTTTGTTATGTTTTGCATTACTAGGTATTGAACACAGGGCTCGCACATGCTAGGAAATGCTCTACTACTGAGCATTTTTTATTTATTTATTTATTTTAAATAATTATTTCTGAACCAGTCACTGACAAAAGGCTGAAAGGACTACACCAGGCCCAAATCAGGTGAGACAGGGTTTGAGACAGACTCCAGAGGCACAGGACCTTCCTGGGGTGGGGTGAAGGGGGTACCCCATGGAATCAGAGTCCAGATAGGGAGGAGAAATGGAAAAGGATGCTCTGAGTGCAAGGGCACTGACCTTCTACTTTAGGAGATGTTTCATTTGCTTCAGAGATGCTTTGGAATCAGAGTCCAGATAGGGAGGAGAAATGGAAAAGGATGCTCTGAGTGCAAGGGCACTGACCTTCTACTTTAGGAGATGTTTCATTTGCTTCAGAGATGCTTTGGAATCAGAGTCCAGATAGGGAGGAGAAATGGAAAAGGATGCTCTGAGTGCAAGGGCACTGACCTTCTACTTTAGGAGATGTTTCATTTGCTTCAGAGATGCTTTGGAATCAGAGTCCAGATAGGGAGGAGAAATGGAAAAGGATGCTCTGAGTGCAAGGGCACTGACCTTCTACTTTAGGAGATGTTTCATTTGCTTCAGAGATGCTTTCTTAATTTCTGCAGTTTCTAGATAACAAAACCAATCTCATAAATGCCAATTGAGAACCATAAAGGAGAAGTTTAAATTATTCAGATTCCTCTGCCTCCGAACATAAGGGAAAGAAAAGAGTGAACAAGAAACAAACAAACAGAGAATAGAAGGAGAAAAATGGAGACAAAGCCTTTGTAAATAAGGAAGGGAAGAGGGTTGAAGGGGGAGGGGATGAGGAAAAAAAAGCCGCAAGATACATCATGTACAGGTACAAATTCCATGCGATAAATGTGATCATTATGTGTATCTAAAATGCACCAATAAAATTAAAAAATAAAACAGTGTTCAGCTGGTTAAGAACATAAAGGTTGAATATAGCATTTAGATAACACGCACACATATATATATTTACACACACATACATATATATTTTTTTCAAGGTAAAGGAGTTAAGTTTTAGTTATTGAAAATAGTCCCAAGGCCAGGCACAGTGGTGCAGCCCTCTAATCTCAGCTACTTGAAAGCCGAGGTAAGAAGATAAAAAATTCAAGGCCAACCTGGTAATTTAATGAAATCCTATTCTCAAAAAAATGTTTTTTGAAGAACAAGCATTGTATCTCAGACCAGGAGTGAGAGGGAGAGAGAGAGAGAGAGAGAGAGAGAGATTAATACCTAGGTTTTAGCTGCCATAGTTTATATGGAAAGCCCAGGGAGATTTTGCTGGGTTCCCTTTCACAGAAAGTAATCTTTTAAATCTTACTTGGAGGCCTATACTGGAGGTCAACAGTTGTTGGTCAAAACTGGCTTTTTGTCCTTCCAGTGTCCAGCAGATGAGGGGGTGCCACAGTCTCCCACTTGCCACATTCAGAGATACTTCCTTCCTTTTTCCTTTTCTTCCCCTTCCCTCTTCTCCCCTCCCCTCCCCCCTTTCTTCTTTGAAGACAGGGTCTTCCTATGTAGTCAAGGCGACCCTTAAACTTGCTTACTTCCTTTATAGTCCAAGCTGATCTCCAATTCGCAATCCTCCTGCCTCAGCTACCTGAGTGCTGGGATTATGGGCAAGAGTCACCATTTCTGGCTGAGGCAATTTTTTCCTGGAATTAAATCTCAGGTGGCCCACAAGGTTTCAAGACAATTTGCTATTGTCCCTCTCTTCTTTGAGAGGTGGGGTAGAAA